TCCATGAGCTCCCCTATCCTTCTTGAAATACCACTCTACTTTAACAAATACAATAGCAACATATAAATAACAAATTGAGTCTAAATACATTTTCCCCCACTTTCAAATGTTCTATTTAGTAGTTATAAAAAGCACTTATGATGTGCCATAAGACACACAAGCATCCAGACAAGACAGAAAGCTGCTGCAAATCTACTCATCACCAAATGCTGTCGCCAGGCAGATAAGTGCCTTAATGACCAAAGGAAAAATGAAGATTTCTCACAAAGGTGTGAGAATTGGCCCAACATTGTTCAGTCTGGTTTATTTGCATCTCCATTACATTGAGCTGAGACATGCAGTCAGAGTGTCTCCAAAAATATCTCTATGGCTTTGTTTGCTTTCTTCTTCCTCTGTAAAAGCGTAACCATATGCTAAGTTTAGTGGGTGTTTTTAGTTGTTTCCTAGTTTGGAGTTTATTTAAATTTAAAAAAAATAGATTTGATTGCAAACCAACAACAGTCAGAAATAATTCAAGTGAAGTCAGCATAAACCAGGTACAAATTAGCATGAAAACTATAAGGAACAGCCTCAGGTACACCAGTTTCAAAATCATATGGTACATTTATTGCCCAAGCACAGTGAACTTTTTAGATTGCGGTGGGACTTTGAATACAATTACCAGATAATAACACTTCTTTTAGAAAGCAGACAATTTAGACAAAACTGTACTTTTAACTCCCGATTTTATGCCTGCTCACAGACAGCTTGCCTATTTTTTAATATAGAAGAGAACTTCTTTGAAACATGCCATAGCTTAACGATGTTTTTTAAATGAGACCTCCCAAAGTCAAAATTCGTGCCCCTGAAATTTTCACCACACTATTTTCTGTCTTTCAAAATGCTCTTCAGAACTTTGATTTGCATATGGAAACATCTACATTCACAAAGCAAATTTAAAAACAACAAAACAAAACACACCACACCTCACAAAGCTGGGCTTGTAAATTTTTTTTTTAAACAATGAGTTCATAGTGCAGATACCCAAACTGTGAGCAGTATAAATCAAAGCCTCTGTGAACACCTGGTGTGCATTACCTACATACTTTTATATAATATGTCACTACCTTCTAATGCCCCATCTCTCAGCTTACTGTTCCATTAGTGTTTCTAGTGAGGAAAGATGATGTGGTTTTCCTTCCTGACATCTTTAGAAACTGAAGAACACAACTAATAATTTGCTGGCCAGGGAATTGAGGCTGGAACAGGCTCACACAGTGCCCACCCGATCCAGCCTGAATAGGAAGGTTAATGACTTGATGAGCACTTGCAGACAGCCCACCACAGTGCCACTCCGGCCTTCCTACGCATCGCCACCAGCCAGCAAACCGTGTCCTGACCCTTGCAAAAAGCACCAGCACGGGATGGTGCACACTGAGCCCAGGAAAGAAGCCCATAAATGAACCCAAAGGCTGTCTGGGTTTACCGCGATGACTACACTTCTCTCCTTTGCTCAGAACATCTCAGAGGTGCCGTGGGACCTGCCTAGGAGGTACCGCAGAGCGTCAGCCGCTGCCCAGCAGCCCTCATGGTCACTTCGGAAAGGGGGGTGGGCCAGCGGTGGCTGGCTCTTGTGCCTCTGGACTGCCCTCCACCAAGCAACGCAGCTTGCCCCTGCCTTCACACAAATTAATTCAGACAACACTGTTCTTCCGGAATAACGAGGGGGGAAAGCGCGAATAGAGAGCGGGAGCTCTCTTGGCATCTGATTCAAATCTGTGAACAGCTTCTTGCAAGGAACTATTTTTAAGTTTCATATCAATCTGCTTGAGAAAGGTTCCTTCTGCTGCCTACGAATGTGCAAACTCCCCCTTCGAAGAACCACAGCTCAGGACAGCAAGATCCAGCCCTGCACTTCCAACCTAACCAAGACCCAGTATTTCATGACCGAAGCATGGCACAACCACACAACACTCCTGCAGAGCATGCCCTGGCGAGGCCCACCCGAGCATCAACGAAGCCCCCACCCCATTACCTTCAGGAGTTCTGTGTGTTCTTCACATACTTACAGGTAGCACACATTCACCCAAGAAACAACCCACACTGAGGCAGTCTGACTGCTTCTGGGAGTGTTACTGCTCTTACCACTGCAACAGGGGCAGAATTGCTATGTGAGATTGAGGGAAAAAAAGAAAAAAGTGAGATGCAGTAAAGGTATAGATGCTGTGCATGACCTGACCAGCAAGGTGAAACCATTGTGCGCTGGGTTATCAGAAGTTCCTGTATGAAGGCATTGTTCAGGCTTAAGAGGTCTGTGAGAAAAAAAAAAAAAACATGCAACAGCACTACACAATGGATACAGATAAGCAACCTCTGAACAAAGCCCTGGGTGACTGCAAGACAAGGGGAAAACTTATTAGCTGCAAGCATCCTATATCCTGTCTCCAATAAAGCAACACAGATGTTCTGCTAATGCAGGGCGTGAAAAGATGAAAAGAGCACTAAGCAGCTATTGAGCCCTCGGCAGGAGAGAGGGTCAGTGTTCAACAGCTGTGGGAGGGAAACAGTGGCTGAGTGCACAAAGACATCCACAGGATGGCCATGAAAAGCCTCATCTTAATATGTCTGAGAATGTAACATCTCTCTCGTCACCGGTAAGGGCGGCCACCATTATGACCACGAGCCCCTCTACACCACTGCAAACAGGGCTTTGCAAGCCCACCTCTGGCCCTAGAACAGAAAGACCATTGTTCCAGAGTTTAGTCAACAGAGCAGTTATCTCCACTGGGAAACGCATGGTGTAGGCGCACACACACACACAGAGGCTGCAGCGCTGGGGACCGCGGTTCTCCATGGCCCAGCAGAGCCAGGGCTCTGCCCAGCAAGAGCTACCAGGTCCGTGGGTCCGGAGGAGGGAAGTGCTCCAAGACCCACTTTTTGGCCAAGAAGTGGGGTGCAGAAACGGCCCCATCATCAACCCTTGGCCAAGTGCTCTGCACAGTCGGACCTCTCCTCTCAGTGTACTTCCCGAAGGCAGAGCTGTCCACCCTCCACGAAGCTTTCATAAACCTGAAAAATCTGGAAAATTCAGGCTGCTTAACTAGCACATACGGGCATCTGCTACTGTGTCAAGAGGAAACTGTCACAAGAACATTATTTAACAGCCAGTTACACTGGAAACATGCTGGGGTGTAGAAGATGACGGCTTTTTTTTTTTTTTTTTTTTTTTTTCCCCCTCAGCATGGTGTTCCCAATCCCATTCCTCACTGCTGAGGCAGGAGAAGGGCTTGCTCCTGCCAACCGGTGGGATTTGAACCCCAGCTGCCCACAGACCTGGTCCTGCACATCTCTCAGCCCCAGCTGTGCAGAGAAGGGCCAGCACAGGGAGCCCGGGCATGCTGCAGACACTGCACCGCAAACAACACACACGGGGAAGAGTCACCCACGCGGTGACACTGGACTGCAGCGCAGCCCGGAGCTGCAGCACAGCCCCAGGACAGTGCAAACAGCAGGCAAATCCTGCAAAGAGCATGGTACTACCCTACACAGCACAACAGCACTCCTTTCAGTTCACAAATGAATGCTACAAAATGTAAATATATTAATATCTTTATTCAAAGTATCTGCACTGCCACTGGCTACAATTCAAAAGTTTCAAGGGCATAAAGAACATGACTTTTTTCCCTCTGATAAGAGTATTTTTGTGTCTCGCTGTCGGCAAACCAGCAATGTAAACGAACACTTGAAAGTCACCGTATAACTAAGAGTCATTGCATATAATCAGATTAAAAAGAGCAAAGCCGAATGCCAATAGGAAGCTTGAGCTTCTTGGTAAAACGGAACAGAAGTGAAAATGATGAATCCACAAACAGTAATAAAACGGGTAAACCTGTGTTAGACTGGATCCAGCCCCGGTCTGAACCTGTGCATACATAATTCCACCAGTTCTGTTACTCATTATGTTCACAAAAATAAACCCAGATCTTTTCAAGCAATAGTTGAAGTTCAAGGGAAAACTTTTAAGCTTGTAAAATTCACCAGATTCTTTCTAGAAACTCAAGCAGGTTAATTACTCTGATCAAAACATGAAACAGTGTCAAGAGTTCTCAAAAGCAATCAGTTATCTGTATTGTCTCAGGGTTTTTACCATTCTACTTAAAACACCCTTGAGGAGCTACACTTTGGGGAAAAAAAGGTGGATGTTCCTTTTCCAAGAACCATGGTGAAGTGACCCCGAACAGAGATGCCCACCTCCCCTTCCTGTGATCCCACTCAAACCTGGCGTATTTGGTAAATTCTGAAAGTCACCCCTGGAGCTCCAACAGTGACAAGCAATCAAGACCCATTTACTGCCTGCAAAATCGACTGTGCCAAGATGAGCACTAGCAAAAAGGCTCAGCTGTAACTCAGACAGGCCTAGCAGAGCCGTTGTGTTCATATGTCTCTTGTGGAAAGCGTCTTCCTGATGCCCATTTTTCTGGGAACACTGCTCTCCAAATATTTTGGCTGCTCCTCATCTACAGGACAGCATTAGAGTACATCTGCAATTCTGTCTCCAGGAAATACACATAAAGCTGATTCATTATCTTAAAATGCTGTTTTCATTTCTGCTCATTCAAAGCACATTTCAGATCCCTGCACCGAATGCGCAGCCGATATGCTCTGGACACAAATTAAAACACTGGGTTTCAGTTCTCTACTTTTCTCATTTTGGTTTCATTTGCTGCCCACAACGTGCGTTCTCCATTTCGAGGACTGCTATATCTGACCTGAGCTACCATCGGGAAAAGCTCTGGATAAAATCCTCTCTCTCCCTGCGATGCCAGGCACTCCAGGCAATTGCACCCGATGTCACACTCAGCCTAGATTTCTGTAGCTAAATCCCGCACCGGCAGCATCCTCCCTGCAGAAACAGAGCAATAAACAGTTCTGCACACCCCACACCCCAGCATGCCGAGCCATTTGGAAGAGAAGGAAAAGCAAGTGAGCTTAGGTAATGCACACGTTAAGACAGTCCTCACCTTTAGGGAGTCAAAGCAGGCAATAACTCGACCATTTTCCACATGGCAACTCCGTGACGGGTGGGCGAACTTGCACTCTGCATCAGACCGAGAACAAGTACCTCTCTGAAACTCTCGACACACTTCTAACGTCAGCCATTTTGTATCACGAACCAGGGAAACGTTTACAGCCATATTAAAAAACAAAAATTAAAATGCAAGCAATCGCACCCTTCTTCAGGGCAATATTTACTGCTGATCTTTTTTTTTCTTCTTTTTTTTTAAAAAAAGGGTAAAAAAGTGAATTCAAGTTAAACGTGAAGAAATAACTAACTTGTTGCTTTGGTAGAACTCCTATTCATCAGCACTTAGGTTTTCATTTAAGTCAAATCGTGTTTGTTTAAACAAGAATTAAACATAAAGCCAATCATAAAATAGAAATCTTATCAGAACAACTGAAAATCAAATTAGAGGCCAGCTCCTAAAAGTGCAATTGTAGAAGTTAAAATATAAGTGTTATATTTTGTGCCACTGCCGAAGTTACTTGCAAATAACTGGCAGACTTTCAAAAGAATTCTGTGCTCTCCAGTTAATGGTTTCAATTATTCTTGCAAAAAGCATATGCTGCTGGCAGCACTTCAGTTTGTGGAATGGTCTCGGTCCTCAGGGAGAAAGCTTCGGGTTTGTTTTTTTTTTTCCTTCTATTTCTTGCTTCTAAAAATTACGGTTCACGAGCATCAAAACGAGAAAAGGACGTCTGAATTTTTTTTTTCCTCTTTCTTTTCTTTTAAATATTTGCTACATACTCGGGGGAAGGAAAAAAAAAATAAAATGGCTGAGCAAACTGCGTGTAAATGGGGAGCCAAAAAAAAAAAAAAAAAAAAAAAAAAGGGCAAGGCTGAAGGAGTTGTCGTCAGGGCACGAACCGCAAGCAACGCCGAATTAAAAAGAGAGGGGGGCGAGGGGGCAGAGAGAGGCAGCCCTAGACAGAAATCCAAGCAGCGGTGGCTTCAGGAAAGGCACTTTTCAGCAACCTGCAGGAAAAAGAGAAATAGAATCAGCCAGGAGCCGAGGCTCGGCCCGCTCCGGCGGCGCGGCCCGGCGGCCATTGTGGCGACCAGGGGCATTTCCCGCACCAAGCTGCGCATGGGAGGAGCAAGCGGCCAATGGCGTTCGCCGTTGCAGCGGCAGGCCCGGGCAGCCGACCAATGAAAGGGACCGTTTCAGAGCGGCCCGGGCTGGCAGACGCTGGGGTTGGTGCCCGCCGCACGGAGAAGCGGCTCGGCCCCGCGGGGGGACCCGGCCCCACGGACACGGGGGGACCCGGGGGGACGGGCCCACCCCAGCCCTGGCCCGCGGTGCCCCGGCCACCCCCCGACCAGCAGCCCTCCCAGAATCAGGAAGGATATTTTGCTCTTTAGCCCTTTTTTTAATTTTTTTTTTTTTTCACCGCCCCCCCCCGCCCCGTTCTGTAGGAGACGTTCAAGCAGGAAGAGCAGCCGGTGTCTGTCTTTTGTATACAAATCAGAAGGAGCTCAGCCCCATAACCACTTCGCCTTTTTAAGGTGTTTTTTTTTTTTTTTTAACCCGTTACTAGCTGCAAAGCTGCTCCAGCAGCAGCCCGAGATGGCACATGAAGACAAACGAACAGTTCACAGTTGCTCCTCTATGGCTTCGGAGCCTACAAAACTAAAAGCAAACCTGACAGGGAAACCTAAGCCACACACACACGGAAAAAATTAACTCATTGCTCACAGCTGTAGTTTTCCACCAGACTAAAGGCAACTCGAATTACTCTGACTCCAGCAACTCATGTTATACAACAAGCAACTTTTCAATGCAGTCCTATTCAAGGCTTCCTTGGCATCCACTAAAATGTTAAGCCGTCCCTAGAGTTTCCCATTCTAATATTAGCTGTACCAATGCCGCCTGATAGGATTGGGCTGTTTCCAAGTTCCCAAAATCCAGCCCTTTATCTTCCTAAAGTACGCTGCCCAGTTTTGCAAACACTTGACAGGCACGGGATGTTGCTCGTGTGACTGCTATTAAGACTTCAAGCTTTCACGGGAGAAGAGCCTTCAACTACAAGAAAAGGAAGCTTAAATTCCTCTTTTATTATCGGTGTGTTATTGCAATTACCCTGATCAGTAACTGAAACCTACTGGAGCTGGAACAGTCAAACAATGCTACCAAGGAAGTAGTGTGGGAAGCGGCTGTCATCAGCAGCAGGGGGTGGGGCGCAGAGGCTGTTTGATTCACAGATCAAATCATTTCACATTAAAATAAAAAACACCCCAACATTCGTTCAAACTATATTGCAAGTATTTTCTCGGCTAATTAGAGTGACCTTCATAACAAAAACAGCCCAGATCCTTGCAATCCAGTTTGCAGCACCAGCACAAAGGTGAGTCTGACCCATGCTTCTGGAAGGACCTTTGCATTTTTGCACATCAGGTGGGGAACAGAGACTGCAAACATCAGATTTGCTAAGCATGTTTTAAACTTCAAAGGGACTGAAAAAAACACACATCTAGCTATGCACATGTCTTCTGGGTTTCATAAAGAACAGAGATGCTCTAAATCAATTCCAATTTTGCAAACGGGGCAAATTTATACAGGAATCACATTCACTGATGTGTGGGCTCCCCGTCCAAATGAGCTCAGCAACCAGGAAAAGATGTGCAGAAACCTTCTGCAGGGAGCGAGGGACTGGCTGGGTGCAGCTCTTAAAAACGAGCTAGAACAGGTCAGATATGGGTGGGGATTAGAAAGAATGCTCTCTCAGTAGCTGCTCCGAGTAGACCGAAATACAACCATCTTGTGGATTAAGTGCCTATTCCACAACTTCAGACTCCCAGGGAAGCGAGGGTCTGTTAATACTGGGGCCTGAGTATGGTGGGTCTGAATTTAACATGCAGTTACACCAAGATGTACAACCAGTGTAATAATATCTGCCACTTCCCAGCCCCTCTACACTGAGAAATCCCACAGAATATAAACCAAACATTCATCTTGTTCTCACCCATGTAGCTCAGGAGCACACACGTGCACACAGACACATGCTTGCACTAAGCTGCTCAGTCCTCAAGATGAAGGGAATCACGTTAATGGAAGATAAGTCAAATGAATCCTACGAAATATTAAGCTACAAATATCAAGACATTCGGATACTTGTAACATGGTTGATATTTTTCTTTTATAACTCTTAGAGGGGAGAAAACAAACAGAAAACTCTGAAGAAATACTTGCCAATATCCTGCCAACGGAAACCGAGACCCCCTGCCCCATATCCTGAAGAGCACACCCGTCTGTTCAACGTGCAAGAGCAAGGAATATTTTGTGCCTCAGAAACAACCCATCTTCCTGCAGAAGGCCAGACTACCATCTCAGACTCTGGGACTAGAGCTCCTGTCCTGGGAGGAGCCAAGTAAACGAATAAATTTTTAATACTGGGGGCCTCAATCCTGCAGCCTGCATGCCAACCAGCAGAGCACAGCAGCAGCACACACTGCCCCCACCACTTGTTTGCTGTGCACTCAGCAGAGCACTTAAGCACATGCTTAACTCTGAGCACGCTGACAAGCTTACTGGAAAGAAGAAAACCCGAAGCATGTACTTAAGTGCTTTGCTGAATCAGGGCCTAAATAAATGAAACCGCTTCACAGGTTTATCAGGGCTGGGAGGCCAGCAAGCACAGGCAGCAGTCATCACACTTCGGCTTATATGATCGCAGCCCAGAGGAACACGAGTCAGGCTTTTCTGCACGTCAACGAATACAGTTCTGTCAGTGTTGGGATTGCTGCAAATTCCCTCTCCGTGTGGCCACAGGGAAAGCCAAGAACCTCTGTGTTCGGGGCTGACATCACTCTGAGTGCTTGTGCACTGCTGCAGCGAGGCTCCCGTGCGCGCCGCCGAAGGAAAACACACATCAGACAGGAACCGGCCACTTACACTACAAAGCTTCAGTTCTCCATGTTTCAACTCCTGGCAGCAAACAACTGTAACCATTCTCACCACAGTACATCCTTACAATTCCCTTGTATTATCCTTTTTTATTTTTAGGGGGGAAGGGAACTGGCATTTTATTCACTTTGTTCTCCTGCTTATTTTAAATAGGAGGAATAAAAGCATCCATGCCAAAACTAACATACAACAAGGATAAAAAGTAGCTCCAGAAAACACAGGCTTCGTTAGCGTGCAGGAAATACAACAAAGGTGCTGCCTTTTGAACCCTTCCCAGCAAGCCAGGTCCGTCTGGCAGAGTTCATCTCCCTCACTACCAGATGGGCCAATTTCATTTCAACAGCAGCAGCATCAAAGCTGGAGAAAGCAGCAGAGCAGAGAGAAAAGCCTGTGGCCTTTATCCCTGTAAGAAAACTAGAATATCCCTGAAGCCCCTGCTCCTTTTAGAGCCTCAGGCTCTAATTGCTTCAGATGCAGGAAGACAGGGCTTGCTCCAGATGTCAGACCCAGCCTTGCAGCTACCCAAGTGAAGGGTAACAAGGGCAGTCTGAGGAGCAAAGGTCAGGCTGGGTCCCACTAGAAGCCGGCCTGAGATGCCCTCGGCGCTTGAGGTAACGTGAGGACGAGCGTATTCACTTGACGCTTGAATTCCTTCTGCTTTCCACGAAACTGATCCCCTTCCGCTGACACCCCCCATGGATGTCAATTCATGAGGACGCTTCCTGACAGCCGAGTCCAGAGATGGTAATTTATGTGACAGGGTAGATTCAAGCAGCTCCCAAGTGCAAATGATGCTATTTAAGAGAGATTGGGGGGGGGGGGGGGGGGGGGGAGAGAAGAAAAAAATTACTCAGTAGAAGTGGTGAAGTGGGTTCCTTATTTATTGGTCCTCAAGGATTTTCTGGGTCACAACTGCTCAGATGAGAAGCAAAAGTGCTGTTGCCCTAACTGACAGTCTTGGTGAGCAAGAACAGCTACTATTCCCCTTTGTCTGAAGCGGAACAGGAACCCAGCAGGCAGTGAGGGGACACTGGAGCTTTCCCAAAGCATATGTGATGCTGTCCATGTTCCCCTCCTCAACACAAACCACCAGCACATGACAGAGCCACTGAGGACCCGCTCTCCTGAGTCCAAACTCAGCCCTGTACTGCCAGGCTGCTGCATGCTTTACCCAGTTTTCCAAGTTATGGTCAATGAAAGCTCAGACCCAGCCAGCCTGGAGGGATGGACACCCTGGAGGCACAGCAATAGAGAAACTGAACCCTTAAGTTTGCAAAATTCAGACCTCAAATCTTTCACCAATTCCACTACAACTTACATCCCACCCTTGAACTATTAATGTTCTCTGAGCGTCTAGATACTGTCAGAGCCAAAGAAGACTTTTTTTTTTTTTTTTATGGCCTTTCCTCAAAGCACTAAATTCAGCTAGCAGCACAAATGACACACTCACCAGTCCTTGCAACTTTGAGACCATTCCGTAACCTTGGCTTTTCTTTGTACCTTAATGGGTATGGAAGAGCTTGGTGCATCCACCACCCCCTCCTCAATAAGCTAGCATGTGGAACTCCTCCCTCAAACAGCAATGAGATGTTTCCACTGTCAAACAAACTTCCAAATAAATACTGTGCTCCTGGAAACACTGCATGGCAAAAAGAAACGGGAACAATGAAAATAGCACATTGAACTGTTTTGTTCTGAAAGAGAAACAGAAGTCTTTAGAATACTACCACCCATCCAACAGCATTTTCACATCCTCCCATGGAAAGCCAAGTCTGAGCATCTTCCCCAGTCCTTTCTTTCTCCTCAACTTTCACAGCAGTAACAAAGAGGAATACACAAAGCTGCATCATTGCTCTTTAAAGCAACCAAAAAACAGTATAGTTGAGGGCAAGATTTTACTGGGGAGTGCTATACTCGTACATTTACTGGCAGTGATGCACAAGGTAAGATAACCCACATTTATGGGGAGCTTCCAGAGTCAGGGAGGAGGAAAAATAAGAAATATATAAAAAAAAATAATCTTCATCTAGGACCCACCGAGCCAGGAACATGATGACATCAATTCAGTTGG